ATGTTTATACATTCTTTTTATAGATACAAATATTTAAGTAAATGCTCTGTTTATAATAAACAGTATTAAACAACATTTACCGGACTGAATGTCTTGTTTATAACTGTTTATTATAAACATGGCATTTACTTAAATATTTGTATCTATAAAAAGAATGTATAAACATAAAATGTCTTAAAATGATTGTCGGACTTTGTCCAGTTCATAATGTGTGACGTCCTATATATATAGATATATATATGTCTATATTTCTGAGATGTGGTACACTATTTACATTATTCGGACTATCGCCTTCATCTTTGTTTGCACATTTATCATAACTTTTCGGTCGTTGTACGCTCTGGACTTCTTCTGGTGGTTGGAATGTCGAACTGAACCCTTTATTTCGCTCGCTGGGGTGGACTGTTCTAGTTCCACGTGCCATGTCTAATCGATGTCAGTTGTCAGTTATCTCCTGTTAATTCCCCTCTCTGACTTTACCAGGTATTAAACTCAGAACTCTTTAGATCCTGTCACTGGATCAAACCAGAGATCCAGTGACAGAACCCAAAGAGTACGATTTTATTCTCAAGACTTTTTCCACTGTTCCTTGGACTGACATAGCTGAAACTCCTCTCTAACGTGCCAAACCTTTCATGAATTGAGTTGGATCATTTCTCTTTAGCTCTAAGTTGAAATGATAATCCCTCTTCCTGTTGTGACCTCTTGATTCAATTTTCCTCTTTACTGTTAACTCTTTTTTTAAACTTATTCACCGTTCTCCTGATGTTTTTTTTTTCATTGATTCTTACTGAAAATGGTGCCAGGCTGACTAAACGTCTTATCTGCAATCTTGGAAAAAAAGGAAAAAGAATTAGTAATTTTTAATGATTAATTATGCTGTTACACGATCTGGACAATTTTTTAGTATATTCAACACACACACACACACACACACACACACACACATATATATATATATATATATATATATATATATATATATATATATATATGTATAGTAAAGGTAATAAATCCATTGGTATATAAAAACTTATCCACAAAAAGAGCTCAGTGCATTTTTTATGGGGTCTGTATACCCATATGAGGTATTTTAATTTTTTGATTTTACCTATATATATATATATATATATATATATATATATATATATATATATATATGTGTGTGTGTGTGTGTGTGAAAAGTGTATATAAATATAAATAAATATATATATGTATAATTATTTATATATTATATGCGCGGTACTTATTAGAAAGCGCTCAATATCAGAGATAGAGCTAACATATTTGGTTGGATAGATGTGAGTTTGTGACCCTGTGTTTCACGCTTTAGCGATCGTCTGACAATCGATAAAGCGTGAAACCCAGGGTCACAAACTCACATCTATCCAACCAAATATATATATATATTAAGAAAGAACAGTAAGATATATAATCCGGTGTTCTTATAGATATTTTTATTTTTAAAAAATAGTGCTCAATGTAAATTTACAGAGCATTAATATTATAAATTAACTAGCTTCTATTTTTGAAACATGGTTAGAACTGTGTAGCGGAAAAAACCATATTTTAAATCAATTAATTTATAATATATATATATATATATATAATTTTTAAAATAGGTCTACTTGTGTGTTATACGGTATAATATTTCAAGAGTATTTTCCTATTTGTCTGTGTTTCTCGCAGCTTAACAGTAAAGTATTCCTGATCTAAAGGTGGTTTCTCGGAATAAAATGGGAACAACTTCTTCGTTTCCTGTCTGGCTGCGCATTTTCTTTAATAATCTTTTCGATTTCTATACCAGCACGTAGTGATATCTATTCAAACATGGATATCCACTAAATATATCTATAATGTCTGGTTAAATATGCAATAATTACTTTAATATTCCTGTAATGTTTCCTATGCGATTAGCAGAAGTGAAACAATTGTCTCCCTTGAATTGACGACGCCACTGAGTAGTGTCTTAGTTTTGAGAATGGCAGACAGTTCGACGAAAGAAGGTAGACGCCTTTTTATGAAATATGGAAAAAAAACAGAAACTCTAAAATGGATACATTTTTCAGTGCAAGAACGATTGACAAAAATTTGAAATAAAAAATTATTAAAGATTAAATATACAAAGTAAAAACTTAACAAATTTACAAACTTCAGATAAAAATTGTTAACTAAAGAAAAATCGTTCTTTTGTTGTTGTTTTTTTGTTTCTTTTTTGTTGTTGTTGTTGTTGTTTTCGGAGTTTTTGTAGTTTAAGTCTTTGTGTGTTTTTAGTTTTTTAAATGAATTTATAACACATTAGCAGTTAAGGAAAAACGACGCCGCCAAATAAAAACTGATTTTGAAGCAGAAATACTCTAATCCTAAAAACAAAAGACTATGAACTCATTGTAAACGTTGAAAGTTTTCAAGAAATGTTTTTTGAGAGGACTTGTTTTTAGCATTTTATTCTCTGATGAAAACATCAAATGCGCGGCAGTATTGAATGTACGGCATGATGCCGGGTCTCATGATACTATGTAATTATTACTTCGGAATGAAATATCGCTTGCAGAATGTACAGAATATTATCAATTAACGAATTTCGACCAGTTAATCTTGATTTGACATGAGAGAAATGAAAAAGAAAAAGACTTGCAAAGAAACAAATTTTAAATGTTATGAACGAAACGAACCAAGTATGCTTTAAACAAAGGAAGGAAATTGAAAAGAAAAACAAATTATTAAATAGTAAAGGGATCCGAGACAGAAAGAAAAATATCCAAGTACAGTTCAGAAGAAAGATTATTGTGAAAAAGAAAAAAAAGAAACAATGAAAAGAAAACCTGTAAAGAAGGGAAAATGATGAAAAGAAGAAATGGCAAAGAATGAAAAAAAAGAAGCGATGACAAGAAGAAATGGCAAAGAATGAAAAAAAAAAAGAAGCGATGAAAAGAAGACATGGCAAAGAATGAAGCAGTAAAAACAAAAGACTTGCTTTTAAAAAAGAAGTAAAGAGAAATTTCTTTATAAATTTATTCCCAAAATTAATTTTCGGTATGAGAAACACTGTAAAAAGTGGAAAAACCTCTATACTTGTCAGAAATTGTTATACACTTTTAAGAAAACCGCCTTTTATTCTGAACAAACTTACAAACGCTCAAATGCACATTTTTCTACTCAAAGTTAGATATTTTGAATATTTCCTAAATCTCTGACTAAACACTTCGAAATATTTGGCGATAAGTTCTTTTTTGTATAATGCGAATGCGCTGAATATAATGTCGTATTTGGATACTTTTAAAACCAGCTAATGGAGAAAGGAGGTCAGTCATTGAAATGGTCAGTTTAAAACAATTGTTTTTACTTTTATTTTTTATTCTCTATTATATTTAGCAATATAACTTTTTAAACAGTCTTCACACCCACTGTCCTATTAAATTCGTTACTTGTTATGTAAACCCTTAAAATTATTTTTTCTTATTTTATTGACCGAAATATTTCATATATCGAATAAATAGAAAGCCAATCCGATTATGCAGTCATCTCCCTTGGTTTGAGATAATCTCCCAAACGTCTTCAGTCCCAAAATGGAAAGTTGAAGCTATAAATAAAACACAGAAAGCAAGATACAAATCCATTCTCGTGCTGAATGAGATTTCACTTTGTTGGACACGAGATATTGACCAAAATCATTTCATAAAGAAGCTTTTAAGGAAACAGCAAAAATGAAAATAGACAATGTCTTCGTAGTTGGTAACTCGCTTGTGCTTAGTCAAGCAAGCTTATTTATTCCTGACGAAGACTTAAGATTACAGGAAACAAATATTCTTTACCAAAAGCCATCTGAAGTAAATACTTCAGCGCTGTTAAGCGAAACTTTTTTTTTTTTTTTTTTTGAGGAAACCATTCGACAACCAAAGAAATGGTTACCTTTTAATTTATATGAAAAAAAAAATCTCCGGTGTTCCCAGATCAAAAAAAAAAAAGTTACATTTTGCTAAAGATACTTTGCGCAAAAAAATACGACTCTGATTTGGAGAGACCCAGAGCTTCGCTGTAGGTGTGCGAGATATTTGGAATGTTGACAAACGCGTTAACAGGCTAAGCAATCAAGTGTACTTTCGTATTTCAAGCTTATCAGTGCAGACACTAAACTTCCACCCTTGACATTGCAAATGAAGACGGAAAAGATATGTCAGACAAAAAAAAACCCAATAATCTCTAATTCCGCATTAGACACTGGTCGCTTTTATGTATGCTTTCTTTAGAAAAAATTCACATCAGCCCACAGCGATATGTACGCAGTTTACCATGTTATCTATATCTCTAATTCTCGAAATGTGTGTGTGTCTGTGTGTGATCAGATGTTGTTTAAGCGTTTCCACAGTTTTCATCCGATTTTGATGATTTTTTTTTGTTTGATAGATAATTCTTCAGTGCCGGTTTTGAGTCCAAATTGTTGGCAACAATGACTCTCCACTACTTCCTATCCATTATAACTCTTAGCAAGGTTTTACTATGTATTATCTGTTCTTGGATATATATCTTTCATAAAAACATTAAGAAAAATACTTTAAATTATTACAATAATATTATCTATATCTATAATTCTCAAAATGTGTGTGTGTGTGTGTGTGTGTGTGTGTGTGTGTGTGTGTGTGTGTGATCGGATATTGTTTATGCGTCTCTACAGTTTTCATCCGATTTCGATGAAATTTTTTTTTGTTTGATAGATAATTCTGCAGTCCTGCTTTTGAGTTCAAATTGGCTGGAAAAAATTACAAACTTGAAGGTGAAAATTCGGAAAAAACGATTTTTTTTTTTTGTACACATTGCGCATAAATGAAAGGCAAAATTTAATTTACTTTTTCACACATAACCTTCCAATAAAATCTTATGATTTGTGAGCGTGATTCATACCTCCACACGTTGCACATCAGTTGCTGCTGACTTTGATAATTAGCGCGTGCATCAACGCGTGCACGTGTGGCCCTGCAACACGCGCTGTGTCACACGCTATGCACGCGCATACGCATGACCTGCGGAACGAGACACCTGTTCAAGTTGCCATTGGCTGCACGAAGGCTCTTCCACGTCCAATCAAATGTCGCCGTGTCATACTGATTGTCTACGCAGTCCTAAGCTCATTGCTATCGCTTAATTCTGCGATTTCGCTTCTACTTCTGTATATCCAGCCCTGCTTACACAGTCCCCTTCTCTTGGCCAAGCAATCAATCTCTCACAAGTGAGGTTAATTTTCCGTTGCATAAAGCCTACTACTACAGTTTTAAGGTGTTGCTCTCAATGTCATTTTTAGCCGATCCCAATTTAAAATTAGATATTGTCCTATCAGTTTTTGGATTGCATTCACTGTAGTAATAAGTAAGTTTGCTTTTTTTTATTATTATTCAACATTTTTTTTCTAACCTATCCTAAAGTTATTCGAGCTTAGTGATCCCTGTAGCTTTTCAGCGTTCTCTTCTGGTATTTGCCCACGCATTCCATTTGCCATTTCATACTTGCTAAAGACATGCTACCAAAGAAAAAATTTTCCTCGGTAGCAAGGTCCGCCATGCGAATAAGCGAGAACGAATCGTCTTTAGAATGTTCAGTTTGCCTGTCTCAAAATGCCTCTTGGAATGCTTCAATCAGATCAAATGAGTCCGAAGATCGACGTAGCCATCGGCTTTCCAGAAGAGCATACATCATGAACGCTTCTGCGCACGTGGCTGAAAATGATGATCAAAGGATTCAACGGCTGAGGAGAAGCGTCTCTTCAGCTGCTGCCGCACGTGAGGCTGAAACAAGATTGAGAACGCAAAAACGGCTCTTTTCAGGACCACCCCTATTCAAATTGTTAACTCCCATTAAGTGATGTGCCTCAGTTGAACCCAATTGTTGTTACTAATATTCATTTTCGGGTGGGCTGACTTTAAACTTAAACTATTCCAATTGAACGGCAGAAATTCCCAGTAATACTACTAAGTTCACGATATGTAGTAAGCATAAAAAAAAAACATTGTTACTGAATATGAAAGACCTGTCTATTTATAGTGTTGCTGAAAATATTAATCAATAGATAAAGCTTATGACCATATCACAACACTGTATCCGTCGTGTATAAAGGCGGCCATCTTGTTTTCCCTTCCGGAAGGACCAGAGCCAACTTATCAGGCGAACACGACAGAAGGAAGAACTACACTCCACTGTGAACCTAAAGTACGCTTTCCTACTGTCTCCGAAATATTCACTGCCAACCTCTGGATTCTATACTTGAGGACGACCGTCATGAAAATGTCTAACATCACATTGAAACAACTCTTCTCGTAAGATCCCCGAAGTTAAGCAACGTCGAGATTGGTCAGTACCTAGATGTGTGACCACTTAGGAATACCAGGTACTGTAAGCTTGGATGGGCGGGTGGTGTAATTGATAAAGTTATATTCACTTACTCGCAAATACCCTTGAGAAAGGTAGGAATCCACCTCTCCCTCCACCAAGCTACAGGTAAATGAGTAGGACTGAGAATACCATCGACCAAACATGTGATCAACGATGAAGTTCTAGAGACAATGGCAACAAAAAGGACGGTGATACTTAACATTAGGAAGAGACAGTTGAAATTCCTAGAGCACATAGTGAGGAAAGACGGCTTGGAAAATCTGATACTCACAGATTCAGATTCAGAGCAAGAACAACACATAACATACCTAATGAGTTTGAGTAAATGGATGTAAAAAGACAGACTTCATTAAGAGCTACAAAGGTCAGGAAACTAGAGAGATTCATGATCTCCAACGTCCTGAAGACGTACGGCGCACAGGTGTGTAGTGTCCATTCATAAATTGGACCTTCATTTTGTATTTATTCATTTTTATATTGTAGAGCGCCAATCGCTCAGCTTCTGAACGGACTTTACTTTTTTTTTTTAACAAATCTGTTCACCCTATAAAAGGCTCGAAAGTCACTCAAGTTAGATGGTTACAGAATAAGAGGCAAAGTTTATGTGGATATGTCGGGGAAGATAACTCTAGATTGAACAGGTTAACATTGTATTGATCGGGAGGTCTCCTGCTTGAAGTAAGCTCCACAAAGCAGCTGTTCATGGGAAGAAGCTGCTCGTGTAGAATTTACATCTCACCAATAGAACACGAAGGGAATGGCGGCGGGGGGGTTGTTCGCTACAATGTGTGCAGCGCGGTAGGTCTTAGTTTTGAAGGTTTAAACTGCTCGGTGAAAAAGTGACTAAGGTCGAGATGCTAAGTCAGGATCGATTACATTGCAGATACTACTTTGGATTTTATCAAGAACCTCGAGATGAATAGCATGAGCACCAGACCAGATATGGATGCAATATTCAATGTACGGATGAATGGGAGATTTGTAAATGCGCAATGAAGCTAGTTAGGCTTTCGTGGCATTGAAAATAACCAGTCATTTTCAAGCCATTGAGATGTTAGAGCTAGATCAGAGGAGAGATCAGCTGCCAACCCAGCGCATAAGAAAGACGATAAACACAATTCAATTATTTTATACTTACTGCTATGATACCATAGCTAAACATCTCTGTCGTGTCCCTTCAGGACGTGGGTAATCATAGCTCAGTGTTACGTACTATCGTTTGTAGCTCTTAGTAAGATTTGCCTTTTCGCCGTCTCTCCCAATCCCTGTTCAGCCATCCATTTACAAAAGCAAGTTGTATAGGTTACTCGCTGCTTTCATCTGTCCTTTTTGGTTTTGATCTATTTTATGAATGTCAAATTCTCCAAGTCCCGTTCCACCTTATGTCTCAAAGTCTGTCTTTTTTTTATCCTAAATATAAGCGTTCATTTTGTTTCCATTATCCTTAAATATTACTGATCTGCTCCATTCGTGGAATTATAAACATCTTTTTGTAGAGCCGATTTTTATTGCTTAAGGTGTCTTCTTCAGGTAACTGTCCACCATTCACTGCCATTTTCAGAGTCTAAGTAGCACAATAAACAACACATCTACTATATGCTGTATCAGCCAAAAAAAGTGGATACCTGAAGATGGCGGGATGTTACTTGGCCGAAACGTTGTCTATAATAATCAAAATGTGAACACAGGTTCGAATAACCTGTATAGCTCGAAGTATATTCGCAATTCCTTATCTCAAAAATAAAAATCTTATTTTATGAACAGGTTTTTTGTGGGGGGGGGTGCTATGTCTCACCAGAATGGTTTTTTTGTATAGCGTGAACCATGAAGACCAGACATGTTATATTTGGTGCTAATAAGAATATATACTTGAAAAACACGGTGGATAAAATAACTAAAGGTTCATTATAAAAACCAGTATAATGAGAATAAAGGTAACAGTTATGTAAGTCAATCCAGTAGTGAGTGCTACTACATACTCAACAGATCCCAGCTAGACGATATCTAGCAACTGCCCCATGCAGTCACATATGGCACAAGGCCGAATTTAATGTGGGTTTCCCAAGCCCGTAGGCTCGGCCCCCAAATCACGGGCATAGCCTCGTCCTTGTTCCTCTCCGCTCGAAGATAGAGAGTTCGACCATCACAGCTGAAAAGATTTCAGCTGGTATATTTAACAGCACCCCCACGAGTGTCGTATGGGGCACAAGGCCGAGTTTATCGTGGGTTCTCCGAGCCCGTAGGTTCGGCCAAAAATATTCCCTTTGAACCCGCATAAACGGATTCATGGTCGGTCTACTTTCCCGAACGAGACTCTGTCCTTCGGCATAGCCTCGTCCAGGTTCCTCTCTGCCCGAAGGCAGAGAATTCGACCAGCCAGCCGAAAAGATCTCAGCTGTACTCTGTAGTACGTTGACGTACAGATACTTATAGGTAGTAACTACCTATAGTGTAGTCACTAATAGGGGGGGGGGAGGTTATTCCATTACATCAAGACAAAATCGAAATCTTTTCGCCGGTTCTATTTTATTTGCTTATAACCGTTGCACTAAGTCTTACTTTCTTAAAAGCGTCAGAAAGAGAGTCGCTTCTTAAGTTGAAAATTAATTGAATCGTGTTGCTGCCATCTGAGATCTCTAATGAGATCACGTGCTATAATTTGAATAGTTTTAGCGTCCTTCCTACTGTCAGATCATAAGTTTTCAGAGAATGCATAATTTCTTGTGGTTATTTTCTGAAAGACTCTGGAGCTTATTAAATGAATAAAACTGGTCCATTATGCTCCCAAATATCGAGCGGTTGGCAAGGTGTATGCAGTTCACTTCAAAACTTTTGCAATAACTGCTCGCAGACAATGTATAGCTCCAACCAATTTAGATACCATAAAAATGCAGACGACACAAAGTGCACAATGAATCATGACGCCGTCAGCTACAAAATAGCAAAATATCCTATCACAACGTATTATTTCCAAGCATAGAGGTTTAACATCCACGTGCTATATATTCAGTTTATAGACGGATTGTTATTTCACGAATTAATCTAAAGTCATCGATTGAAACTCTCGTATGGATGGAAAACAAGATGGTCTGTGGATATGAATTTGGGATTTATTTCTTTGTTCACCAGATTACATGTTTTTTTTTCTTTCTTTTTTTTTCTATTTTTTTTTTTTCGATTTTAAATCTAATCCAAACATCGAGATCATTTATATTTTCATGATGGTGGTATCTCGATTTTATTGGATTTTCGGAGAATGCGGCGAGTCAATAAATTTTGTATGCATTGCAAATCGAAGCATCGGGAATAGATATCTGTTGATTGGGGAAATGAAGACCGAGAAAAACCAGAAATGAGATGTTCGGATTTCCATAAACATTCACACGCAAATACGGATGCAGAAAGTGCACAAGTGCGCTCATAAGCAAGCGTACACGCATATCCACGGGTACGAGCTTGCAAACGAACGGACGGTAACATTCATCATTTATCGAGAGATAAAAATGAATAAATAACGTAGATAGTCATACAAACATATAGATATTGTCTTTCTAGGAAAACAGAGACAGACAGCATCCATCCATCTATCTATCTGGGAGAATCTAGATAAATGGATGGCTGCTGTCTATCTGGGTGAAGCTAGATGGATGGACGGCAGCCATCCATCCATCCATCTGGGTGAAGCTAGATGGATGGACGGCGGCCGTCCACCCATCCATCCGGGTAAAGCTAGATGGATGGACAGCGGCCGTCCACCCATCCATCCGGGTAAAGCTAGATGGATAGACACGGCCGTCCACCCATCCATCCGGGGTAAAGCTAGATGGATAGACAGCGGCCGTCCACACATCCATCCGTGTAAAGCAAGATGGATGGACAGCGGCCGTCCACCCATCCATCCGGGTAAAGCTAGATGGATAGACACGGCCGTCCACCCATCCATCCGGGTAAAGCTAGATGGATAGACAGCGGCCGTCCACACATCCATCCGGGTAAAGCTAGATGGATGGACAGCGGCCGTCTACACATCCATCCGGGTAAAGCTAGATGGATGGACGGCATCCATCCATCCGGGTAAAGCTAGATGGATGGACAGCGGCCGTCCACATATCCATCCGGATGAAGCTAGATGGATGGACAGCGGCCGTCCACATATCCATCCGGATGAAGCTAGATGGATGAACAGCGGCCGTCCACCCATCCATCCGGGTAAAGCTAGATGGATGGACAGCGGCCGTCCACCCATCCATCCGGGTAAAGCTAGATGGATGGACGGCGGCCTATCTAGGTCGAATCAGGATAATTAATGTTGTGACACTTATGTATTTACATCTTTGCGACTGTTATGTCAAAATAAATAAGCCTATTATCAATCGAATTTTATATATAACACTTGATTAATTAGTGCTGAACAAATCCAAATTGTTTTTTCGAAAACGTCAATTTTACTCCATTTAACTGAATATTTTAAATAATTTACATCATAAAATAATTTTTTTTCTCAGGGAGAGAGAAAACAAGATAAGATCTTTAAATATCTGTAAGATTCAGTAAATATCTGCTGAGGACTGGATGTGAATAACTCCATGTATGTCTGAAATGATTACAAATCTTGGAGTCCTTTATATAAAAATCGATAAAGTTCAGATTTAAATAACTGAATTTTATTTCTAATGAGCCAAAGCATTAACACAACACTGACGCTGACTGATCAAGTATTTTTTTCCGTTTAATATAATCTTTTTCTGCTTTTTTCTCTGTGCAATGTCACTTCACGGATTATTCTGGATATGGTTCTCTGCATCTTACTCTCCTTTATAGCACTTTTAGATTTTATCTTTGTGCTATCTCTCCTAATCCCTGTTATGACAACCATTTACACCAAAATGGCTATGTGGGATATGCACTGCTTTTTTTTCTTTTTTTTTTTTTGTCCATCTCGCCTTCCATATAACCTGTGTCAAATCTTCTCAGCCCTCTTTCCTCATTATGTGATCTAGAAATTCCAAGTCTCTTTTTCTGATATTAAATTCCTATTTTTGTTTCTATTTTCCTAAAAACGTCGTCGTTGCTCACATGTTCAATCCATACTATTCTCGACATCCTTCTGCAGAACGACATTTATATTGCCATAAGTCTCTCCTTCATTTGCCATATAGGTGGACCGATATTTCATATCCATTCAGTATTCCTGTTTCTTAATACTTTGCTTAGATTTTAGTAGGTATCTTTCGCTGTTCGAATGCGACTTCAGATTTCAGTGTCGCGTTTTCTGTTCTCTGTTAAAATACTTCCTAGATATTTAGATTTTTATACTTGCTTTATTTTAGTGTCACTAATTTCTAAATCGCATTTTGGTCTGTCCATTTTGCTGACAATACATTCTGTTTTCTTGCAATTGATGTTTACTCCACAAGACGTTAAAGTTGTTGGTTCAGATTCGATGTTTGGATATGAACAGCTTGTCCATGTACACTACAGATACCGTGATAGTGCGAATTCGGTAATTCGTCAAATCCTCTAAAAAGCCAATGCCCTTTGAGATCTTGGAGAGGTTGGTACTAATGCTACCAGTAATGAGGTCTTTTTTTTCCTGAATTAACTTCTGCGACGTGGCAATTATCTTGTTGGAAGAGGCTATTGCCACTGCATAAAGCTGCTGTAGGGCTGTCTACTTGGTCTTGACAGACATTTATTCTGACTCAGCTTAAACGTGTTACCTATCAACTAGTTGTGCTCACATTCATTGTTTGGTTTCTGTAAATGTTCGTTTATAGATTATGAATGGCAAAGGGAGCATATTTTTTGCATAGAAGAATTAAGTGACTGAGTTCTAATTTTTACGCAGTTTTTTTTTGGTTTTCCTTGTCTGGCGCGATTTTACCAGACTGCTTTCTGCAACAAGAGAAAAGTTGGCATTACTTTCAAAACCACCTTCGTATATTTGTTTGTAAGTAAAGAGGTGATATAACATTGGGAGAGTTTTAATCGTGGCCATTAGTTCCGCGTTGTGCTTCGAAATTAAACTAAATTCGCTTGCCTTGTGCTGTTGGCAAATTTGCATACTTCCATACATACGGAAGTCGACGACAAAGTAGTTAGCAAATTCTAAAGAACGCTACTTCTCCTGACATGAAATGTCTGAGCAGGGTTCAAGGCTACAAAATTAATCAAGAATTTCCAAGAAATCCTTTTCTATCACTCGAGGAAAACGATGCAAGCGCTCCGTTAGATCTTCACTGCCGATCAATTCCTCCTATCCAGTGGGATTTCAGCGAAGTAGATATTTTGATGATGAGGCTAGAGAACGGCAGTAGTTATTCAACTCTGGTGTTCAGAAAATCTAAAAAGCAATATAAATTCAGTTAGCGGCTCATTCGAGTATTCTTGTCTCTCGCTTTTTAACTCGCTTGGATTGGCCTAAACTGACATGCTAAATCTGGACAGCTGCCAACCGTTCAATCAACCAGGTTGCACAACAATCCGCAGAGTAAGGGCCCTAAAGCAAAAAGCGATCTGTTAAAGACATTAAACTCTTTCATCTAACCTTCATCTTAAACCTCTTAAGTCAATTCTTGTTGATTATCATACTGGTTCTTTTAAGATATATGCAATAGAGTTTCTCGCATTTTCGACATTGTCATTTCTTTGAAGTGAACAAACCTCGTAAGTTTAAAATCAGTGATGGGTAGTACAAATAGATATGAATCGATTCATCACAACACTATCGAATATTGGTTTCAAGATTTATTTCAATAATTTATCAAAACCGAGAAAATATTTAACGAATTCTACGTGTTAAAATAATCCAAGATGGCGGACCAAGCCTAATAAGAATTAGGGTTAGTCATAAATAATTTCTGCTTTTGTTCATCAAATTTTTACTGCAAAAAATAAATCACAACTATATTTTATTCAATTATATATTCATTATTGTTTGCAATGACTTGTTGTCGGTTATCACGCAGCTCTTCAATGTCTTTGGCGTAAAATTCCGCAGGTTTTGATGTGAGAAAATCTTAAATGTAGTCTTGACTGTGGTTTTCATTATAAGAAAAAAATCCCCCTCAAAGAGATTTTCAGTAATGGAAAAAAGATGATCGGTGGGTGCAAGGCCAGATGAAAATGGCGTTAGGATAGAACAGACCAACCAAGTTGTTTTCCCCCTTGTTGTTCTTTCTTTATGCAGCGTGGCATTGTCATGGAGGAAAAGAAGCTTTCTTTTAATCCACTATGTACGCTGCTACTTGTCCGCGCATAAACTAAGGTATGTATTTTACCCTCCAAATTTATTCTTCACTATCACGTATGATCAGTAGTTAGGATATTACATTTGTCATGGAAATTGGTGCCCCCAAAAAATGAAATTATGATTTAACCAAATCGTAAGATGGGTTGTGTCCCTTTAGGACGTGGGATATCACGGCTCTCTACAGCTTCCTTCTCTTTGTCACTCTTGGAAAGGTTTGTCTTTTCACTATCCCTGTCATTCTGTTTCAACATCCATCTGCCCAAAACTGTTTGCCTCGGTCCATATGTCCTTCAAAATTTATCCTGCAAGTGTTAAATTCTCCAAAACCTGTCTCCTCATTATGTGTCCCAATTTAAACTCTTTCTGTTTGTAAGCGACCATCTTTCCTTTTTCATTTTCCTTAAAACTTCCTAGCGAGTTATCGTTATTTCACAAACTGGTCGAATAAAATGAAAATATATTTCCAAACAACCCGACGAATAAGAAATTTATTATTGTGAAATCTTTAGATAACATTTTCAATATTATTTTATTGTTAGTTTTACTTTTCTTAAATCATTGCACCCCAAGCAAAGCAATAAAGCTACTAAGACGCAAGTATCTATGAGTGTGAGAAAATATGAGAGAAAAAAAAACATTAAAAAGAGGACAATAAAAGAATAGGGATTAAAATGATAGAAGAAAACGATTGATATTAAACGAAGTTTCTACAAAAATGGCATTAACAAATTTGTAGAAGAATGGAGACAGTTGTTATGGAGACTAACAAATGATTTATTGTGAGTATGTAAAATTTCGTTTTTAATTTTAAGATTGGAAGTTTGGAGGAGCGGGGAACAAATTCTTAATTGAAGTTGTTCCCAAATCCACTATGGCCAGGGGTGGTAGCACCTGTAATTGAAATGAGGAAATAGTGACCCCACCCCCAAGCAAATGTCAAAACTCGAGGAAAGTATAAAAATACCACCAAAACATTTTTACTGTATTGATTTGTGTGTGTGTGTGTGTGTGTGTGTGTGTGTGCATAACATTTCGAGCAGGAACTTTTACATCTGTCTATATTTCTGAGATGAGGTATTATGTACACGATTTACATTATTCTGACTATTGTCCTCATCTTTGTTGCCATATTTATCACTACGTTTCGACCGTTGTACGCCCCGGCCTTCTTCAGGTGGTTGAAATTTCGAACTGAACCCTTTATTTCGCTCACTGGGGTACACTATTCTAGTTCCACGGGCCATATTTGATGGATGTCAGTTATCAGTTATCTCCTGCTAATTTCACTCTGAAAGTTCTCCACTGCTTTAACCGGGTATTGAACTCACACTGTTTGGGTCCTCTCACTGGATCTTACCAACGCCTTTATCCACTGTGCCATGTGTCCTTGATGGCACGTGGAACTAGAACAGTCGATCTGAACCCTTTATTTCACTCACTGGGGTATACTGTTCGAGTTCTACGTGCCATGTCTAGTGGGTGTCAGTTATCAGTTATCTCCTGTTAGTTCCTCTCTCCAAATTTTCCACTGCCTTAACAAGGTATTGAACTCACAACCCTTTTGGTCCTGTCACTGGATTTAACCAACAAAAATGACATTAACAAGCTTGCAGAAGAAAGCGGACAATTGTTAAAACAATGGAGACTAACAAATGATTTTTGGAGTATGTAAAATTTCAGTATCTGTCTATATTTCTGAGATGAGGTATTATGTACATTATTTACATTATTCGGACTATTGTCCTCATCTTTGTCGCCATATTTATTACAACGTTTCGTAACTGATAACTGACATCCATTAAACATGGCACGTAGAACTAGAACAGTCTACCCCAGTGAGCGGAATTAAGGGTTCAGTTCGACATTCCAACCACCTGAAGAAGGCCGGAGCGTACAACGGCCGAAACGTTGTAATAAATATGGCGACAAAGATGAGGACAATAGTGCGAATAATGTAAATAATGTAAAATTTCGTTTTTGATTTTAAGGTTTTGAGGCGCGTTGAACAATTTCGTAATTGAAGTTCTTCCCAAGGCCACCATGGCTAGGGGTGGT